GGTATAATTAAACTTTTATTAAAAATTAATAATAATCTATTTAAAAACAATACACTATGAAAATAAAATGTGTGTTCAGCTTCAACTTTTTTGCTCTACATCTCCTTTTTCGTTGCTTGACAGTTTTTTTGTTTAATATCGCCGTCATAACAAAAGTGTTGAAAGTTGCATTTCATATTACGAACTCCTACATATGGGCTATCCTGACTGGGCGTACGACCCGGTCCACGGCTTCATATTTTCTGCGATGGATATTGTCGGAAGCGAGCCTTCGTGATCGCCAATTTTTTCAACTTCGTAGCGACCTTGATGTAACACCTTGTTGACTTTATACCCACCCAAGTATTTTGCTCAAAGTTTCATCCCTGAACCGTATTGAGTTCTCTTTATTGCCACTGTATCATTTTCTGTGCACTTTCTTTCTTCTTTGCGCTGTGAATCGTTCCATTTTTTGTTTTCTTGTTGAAGGTATTTTAAGGACTGTTTCTTTCGCTATTTCCATAACCTTATTTCTTCCTTCATTCTAGCTCGTTGAATAACTCCTCGTTGAATAATGTTTTTAGTTCGTTATATTGATCAGCTTTCATTCCAAATCCTGTTAAAATTTTGAACGGCGTTACTCTTGTACTACGAGGTGGAGTGTTGTTTATAAGTTGCTAAATTCTGTCAACATGTTTGTACAACAATGTAGGTTTCTCCTGACATAGCTTTGCTAGCATAGGCACCACTATTCGATGAATACCCTCTATCTGCCCATTACCTCTAGGAACTCCAGTTGAAAAAAGGATATGTTGGATGCCTCTTGACCTACAATATTCCTCGAATACTTTTGCCATAAACGCTGTGCTACCATCAGTAAGTATACAACTTGGATGCCCAAATAATGCTGATTGTTTTTCTAGTATATTAACAACTGATTGTGTGTCTGTGCTTTTTGTTGGATAGAGCCAGACAAATTTCGAGAAGGCATCAACGATAACAAAAATATGATTATACTTCTTCTGAGTCTGTTCTAGTGGACCTACGTGATCGATATGATACGTCGACAGAGGTTTGTCTTCCTTGCTAATAGCGTTTAAAAATTCCTCATTCTTTCGAGCGTTGGTATTAATAAGTATGCATATAATGCATGAATTGACGATATAAGAGACCTTATGACTTCGTTGCCGAATAAAGTATTCCTTTTCAATGATATTTTGCGTTTTCTTCTGAGCGAAGTGACCTTTACAATGTGCGGCAGTGATTACTTCTCGTTCTATTGCTGATGAAATAACTAGTAGTTCCTTATCTGTGTTCTTAAACAACACCCCATTCTAAAAATCGTCATACTTACCACTACCATCTAGAATCATTTTAACCGCTTTAAGCCAGTCGTCCTGACTTTGCCTTTCTTTCAGCTTGCATGTAAATGTATCTTGTATCATCATGCAGTGCATCCGACTTAGTGCATTGTAACGACACTTTTGGGTGACGTTAAAAAATATAATTTTTGCTGGGATATCCTCAGCCGTCGTCCAAAGTCGTGACAATAAAATTTGTATTTGCTGAGACGCGGTTTTGGTTTAGAAGGAAAAGAACGTTGATTTGCAATATTTAGTTAAATACTTTATTTACTTCAGAAAAAAAAATATAAGTATCAAACAAAGTTTAATTATAATTCGAATAAATGATTATTAAATGATTCAAATAAATGATAAGTTATGACTCAGATAACAAATAAAATATTGTTTTATAATTTGAATAAACTCATTCTTCACGGCGATCACCAAAAAAAATTATTATTACTGCCGTGCGTGATTATATCATTAAAGTGCATTAATGTCTCCTGATCACTGTGGTAATAGTTAACGAGGTTTCTGCGTTTAGATTGGGTTCTTACGCTGAGAAGTCTCCTGGCAGGACCGCGTGACGTCCTGAGTTTCTCTCCTCCATTTGTAAAACGATGGTTGCTCAGTCCTATGAAGGATAATAATTTGGCCGAATGAGCCAGTTCTAAACTACTGTGGCTGAATGAGCCAGTTCTAAACTACTTTGGCTGAATGAGCCAGGTTTTGGTAGAATTTACCAGTAGACCGAATAGGCCAGCGTTCTTGTCCCTTTAAAAGTGAAAACACAAGATTTAGGTAAAATTTACCAGTAGGCTAAATAAGCCAGAGTACTTGTTCCTTCGCAAGTCAAAACACAAGTCCCTGATCATATCGAATGCGTGTTCTTTTATACAGAATATACTGGAGCTTTTTGGTGTAGCGCACCGGTATATTTGCTATTGATAACTTCGCCGTTAATGTTGAACTTTTGTGGTGTTGTGTATTTTGTGTATTTTTCATATTCGCATGCTTTTCGTTTTCGCCGTGGTTTCGTTTGTTTACTTCGCGTCGGGTCGAATATATTTTGTTTGTTTAAAAATAAAAGTAGAAATATATATCGTTAAAGATATATTTGGATATTAAAATAAATAATAATAATACAAAAACCAAATGTGGAGAAAATATAGGTGTGTTTATGTTAATTTGTTTTTAGCGGTGGCTAATTTTTATGTTCGATTTGTTTTATGTGCATAAAAGAATAAAATGTACATGGTGAATGTTAAATTGTTTTGTGTTTATTTAATTATTAATGATATAATTTGTTAAATAAATGTGTTTACTTTTGTAATAGTTTTATTGTAACTGGACAGAATAATACTTCAAGTTTTCTTTCATTCATAAAAATTCATGTTTGTTCATTGCTTCTTTTAGATTTGTGTAATTCATGTATCGCTGTCCGCGGCTCGTTGGAACCGAGGATCGCAGATAATGTCCATACGTTTTGTGATTAAATATATTTTAATCAATTTTATATTTTCCAGATAATTTCAACGCAGTTCAATTCAAGTGAGTGTTTTTATTATAATGCGTATAGGTGTAGTGATGTTGTGACGTTCAGACTTCGTTTTTCTCTTGTTCTTGCAGCATGTGCGATAGAAATTTGATGTGCAAATTTGTATCGTCACATTTCCCTCCTTCTTCGAAAGAGAAAAAACACGACTACGATATTATTTATACTACGAATGTTTCTCTTAGAATGAGGCACGATTTCTCTTTCTTTTCTTTGGACTCTTGTAAATCTTGCAGAAATCGTCTTGGTTTTTGATGTTCCGTAGATCATCAACGGTTCCTAATGTACTGGCCTTAACTTCTTCTAAAACTAAAATCAAGTCCTCTTTGCGAGCTATGGAAATCCATGCCATCTTGATCATGTTTATAGTTTATTGCGTTTGTTGCTTAGGCGACTTCGTGTTTAGTTTAACGATTTTTTTTTTGAAACGTTTGTACACTGTTCTCCATTCCTGTTTTTTTTTTTGCCAAAACTCGGGTCCCTGCTCGGACGCCAATTGTAACGACACAGCATCAACGTGCTTCATCTGCGTTCCCGATCGATGTTCAACTTTATACTGGAAATCTTGCAGGAACATTGCCCAACGTGACAGTCTTAGCGGAACGTCTTCCTTTTTCATAGTTAACGTGAATGCATTACAATCGGTGATGATTTTAAACTCCTTGTCAATTAGATAAATCCTCCATTTCTTCAATGCTTGAATAACAGCTAAGACTTCTAATTCGTATTAATTATACTTACTCTCGGAAGGAGAGGTCGTTCGACTGAAGTATTGTACCGGATGTAATATTTGGTCATCAGGATCTTTCTGCATCAAAATCGCACCAAAGCCATGAGTATCCGTGTGGACTTCTACGAATGGATCACAGATTTTCAAGTCAGGCGCTTTTACTAGCTCTAATTTTAACTGCTTGTTCTTCCCCGAATGTGAACTTTGCGTAGGAAGTCAGTGAGCGGTTTGGCTATTACGGTGAAATTCCTAACAAACTTGCGGAAGTAAATCTTTGAACAACCTTCTAGTTATTCGGTACTGGAAATTTTTCTACGACCTTAATCTTTTCATAGGAAAGTTGTATGCTATTGTTTTCTATAACATACCCCAGAAAATTTATTTTTCTCTGCAGGAATTGACACTTGCTAAATCCTATTTCGATTCCCTTCTCCTCAGCGACTTTCAAAACTTTTTAGTCCATCAACTTTATCTTTCGATGGTATGAGTATGTCATCAATGTAAAAAATGATTGTACCGTCTTGTATCAGTTCACTAAAAACTGCTTGAACAAATCTGCCAACAGCAGCCGATGAGTTTCGAATACCAAACGGTGCATAAAGAAATTCAAATTGCCCTTAATGAATATATTGTTGGGTAACAATACAAAATAACATAAAATATATAATGTTCATAAATAACGAAAGTTTTTGTATTATTGGCAACCCTGTTGCACAATGTAAGTTATTACAATAAAAACGATCAGTCTTGATCAAACTCGAATTAAAAAACAACGTGTTTTTTGTCGTCTCTTTTTCGGTTTTAGTTTTACTAAGAAAAATTCTTCTTGGTACATTTTTTGGCGCCCAACGTGGGGCACGATAGATACTTGACAAAGTATAATTTAGACATTTGAAAGTGATATATTTAATATATATTAAATATATAATATATGTTGTATATTTAATAATAAAAACTTGAACAGTCTCATTTTCGGGCCGTCGTTGCCGTTTTGTTGCTTTGTAGCTGCCGTTCGTTTTATGGTTCTTGTATCATTTTCAAGCCGTCGTCGCCGTTTTGTTGCATTGTTACTGCCGTTTGTTCTACGGTTCTTGTGCTCCATATAATTATATTTAAATTAAATCCCGTGTTTAATTCAAGGCCATCGTCGCCGACTCGCTTTATAGTTTATTGCCGTTTATTTTACGGTTCTTTGCAGTTAGTCTGTCGCTGCTTGCTGCATTTGTTTGGAGTTCTTATACTGCTGCTGCTACTGCGATCATCGTAAATTTTCAGTGCTGTCGCTGCATGCAGAATTTACGTCGACTCTATTGCTGTTGCTGTTTATCATTTACTTAACGAGTTGTTGCTGTATTTGGTGCATTTATTTTGTACATTATATTTTTACATCACAATGGCAGAAAAATTAAAGCAGCAAAGAGCCAACACTAAAAAAAGCATGACACGAATTAAAAATTATATTGAATCCGCAAGGAATGAGGGAAATGTACTTCCACATGCTGAACTAAAATGTCGCTTAGCGATATTAGAGGCTTACTTCAAACAGATATTGACCACGCAATCGAGCATCGAGGCCTTAGATCCAGAAGATAATTGCCGATCAGATTTGGAGGAGCTTTACATCAATGCAAAGGTGGCTATTCAATCGCAGTTGGGAGACGAGTTCCACAATACGTCAATATCTGATGGTAACATCACCATCCACCAATCAACATCGAAACTACCACCGTTACAACTACCTTCATTCAATGGTAAATATTCGGAATTCAAGAATTTTATAACGACATTTTTCCAAATTATTGATCGAGAATCAACTTTATCTAATCTGGAAAAATTTAATTATTTGCTGACTTGTCTGCATGGCCCAGCGTTAGAAACGGTTAACGCGTTTCAAGTCACAAATGAAAATTATTCAAAGGCTTTAAATAGATTGAAGGATAGGTACGACAATCCAACACTCATTTTTATGGAAAACGTATCAGCCCTTTTCGATCTTCCTGGTACTTCCAAACCGGAAGGTGATAAACTGCGAAGTCGATACTGCGTCAGCAATTTATAGTTCACTTCTATCATTGGGTTCTGAACGTGACATTTCACAAGCAATGTTGATTCATATTGTGATGCAAAAGTGTGACGAAGGGACGAGAAGAAAGTGGAAGGAATCGTTGAATTTCAAAAGGTTGCCATGTTGGAACGATTGTAGTGCCGTTTTAGAGAGACATTGTCAATATCTTCAATCTCTGGATAAAACGTCTCCTTGTGTATCAGATGTGCACACCAATGATAAATTGTCAAAAATAAAAAAATCTCACAAAGATTATGCTTTTTCTTGCACTAAATCTTCTTGTATATTTTGTTCAAGTGCGAATCACAAGCTCAATGGCTGTGAACGGTTTAAAAGTTTATCAACTGCACAACGTTTTGACACTGTAAAGCGATTCACACTGTGCATCAATTGTTTATCAAAAGGACAGCAACGTTCTAACTGTCCATCAACTTATAGATGTAAGATTTGTTCAGATCAACATCACACCTTGTTACATCGTAGCAACACCTTCAATGCTACAACACCTTTCAACTCAGTTCATCCTACTCCACAGTCATCAATGGTGTCAGCGGTAGCTACTACTTCTAGAGATGCTGTGATGCATACACATTTAGAGAAGTCATCGACAAGTAATGTCATCTTAGCTACAGCGCTAGTTCTAATACAGGATGCATCTGGATGCTATCAATTGGGTAGGGCTTTACTAGATTCGTGTTCACAGGTGAACTTCATCACTAATGATTTCGCTCAAAAACTTCGCATACCCATGGCCAAGCATAATATTGAAATTAACAACATCGGAAATTCATCGACAAGAATTACATCAAAGGTATCAACTACTATTAAATCTCGATTCACGGCTTTTCAACTTCCATTGACATTCTGTATAACATCACATATTGCGTATCAACCAGATTCTGAAATAAACATCTCAACTTGGAACGTACCATCAAATATTAACCTTGCTGACGAACAATTTTACAAATCAACCCGTATTGATTTACTGCTTGGCACTGAAAGTTTTTTTAGTGTCCTGTCAGTAGGACAGATTAAGCTTGGATTAGGATTACCAACGTTACAGAAAACTATTTTGGGCTGGATTGTTTCAGGTAGATATGATGTTTCACAATGCGTTAATAATTCAACTTGTCTCCTTTCATCAATTGACTCTGTCGAGGAAAAGTTAGAATGTCTATGGAAGCTAGAAGAAGTCTCGATCACTCCACATGCTTGGACTAGTGAACAACAAGTTTGTGATCGTTTGTTTTCAGAAACAGTATGCAGAACAGATGCAGGTAGAGTTATGGTAAGGTTGCCATTTAAGGATAATCCTCAGTGTTTAGGCAGTTCATACGGTACAGCGTTGCACAGATTTATTACACAAGAAAATCAATTGTCACGGTCGCCTGAGCTCAAAACGCAATATGTTGCCTTTATGGAAGAATATCAAAACCTTCGTCACATGATTGAGGAAAAAGATCCAAATATTGATAAACCTCATTATTACATTCCGCATCATTGCGTATTGAAGCCAATCAGCACCTCGACGAAATTAAGAGTCGTATTCGACGCATCATGTCGAACCTCTTCTCAGAAATCTCTCAATGATATTTTGATGATTGGACCTACTCTTCAAACTGAATTGTTCATCCTCTTGTTACGTTTTCGCTTATTTCGATTCGCTCTTACTGCTGACATAGTGAATATGTATTGGCAAATTCTGATTGATCCTGAAGATAGAAAATTTCAGTGCATTCTTTGGAGAAGTTCGCCATCTACCAATATTCGTACTTTCCAGCTCAACACAGTTACATATGGAACAGCTGCTGCACCGTACCTTGCCATTCGTTGCCTATTGTATATAGCGCATCAATATGTGGATCAATTCAAGATTGCAGCTGAAATAATCAAATCTTATTTTATGTTGATGACTTATTGCATGGTGCAGATTCTCTTTCTGAGTTACATCAAATAAGACACGAATTGGAAGAGCTTCTAAAACAGGGAGGTTTCGAATTAGCTAATTGGCACTCAAATCATCAAGCTTTTAGAGATGATACTACTGTCAAAGATCTTAATATAGGTTCGGATGTTATTATCTGCACATTGGGACTGAAATGGGATCAAGATAATGATGTATTTATTCCTTCATTTAATGTTAAATCAAACTCTATCAGCCGCATCACAAAAAGAACTATTTTATCAATTGCGTCGTCACTATTCGACCCATTAGGACTATTAGCTCCAATAACCATATCAACTAAAACATTATTGCAAGAGCTATGGCTGCTTAAATTTGATTGGGACGAATCCATTCCTCAAAATTTACATTCAGCATGGGAAAGGCTTTGTCACGATTTGTCATCATTGAACACCATTACCATTCCAAGGTACTGTCTAAAACCAAAAGCAAAAACAATTCAGCTCCATGGGTTCTGCGATGCATCGATTCGCGCATATGGTTGCAGCATTTACATTCGCGTCACAGATGATTCCAACCTCATAGAGGTTCAACTATTCGTAGCCAAATCTAGAGTAGCTCCGCTAAAAAAACAATCGCTTCCAAAATTAGAACTTTGTGAAGCACTGCTACTTGCAAGACTTTACAACAAAATTAAATCGCTCTTCGAAAAGTTTGATACGGACGTCTATCTATAGTCTGATTCCCAAATCGTTTTATATTGGCTCAAAATGCATTCGGCCACACTGTCTGCCTTCGTAGGCAATAGAGTTTCTGAGATTCAAGACCTCACCGCAGGTTCACATTGGAGATATGTCCACACAAATTGTAATCCAGCAGACATTGTGTCAAGAGGCAGCACTGTTAAGGATCTCACTAATTCTATTTGGTTTAAAGGACCTTCATTTCTTCGTCAAGAGATGTATAAGTGGCCTGCAAACAAGAACGACAACTTGGATTTTGAAGAAGTCAATAAAGAAAAACGAAAAGCAGCATTCAAGAAGTTCAACCGCAATGTCTTTACAGAAGTCCTTACTCATGAAGAATTAGACCACGCCTTCCGATGCATCATTTCAAATATACAAGCTCAGTACTTTGCTGAAGATATTTATTTATTGAATCGAGGATCTATAACAAAAGGTTCATTAAAATACCTCAACCCATTTATTGAATATACCGGTGGGTATAAGCTGATAAAGGTTGGTGGACGATTAGAATTGGCTGAACTTGCAAAAGAACGTAAACATCCTATCCTGCTGCCTAGCAAATCTGAATTCGTCATACGTTATGTTCGTTACTTGCATCGTAAGAATTATCATGCTGGACCTAAGGCACTAGTGGCACTCATTCGTTTAGAGTTTTGGATTATAAACGCCAGAGAGGTTGCTCGAAGAGTAGTCAGACAATGTGTTCACTGCGTGCATTATAAGCCAAAACTATTGCAACAGATGATGGGCAATTTACCGGTAGAACGTCTCACACTGTCACGGCCGTTTGCTCGCTGTGGTATAGATTCTTGTGGACCATTCAACACGTATTTACGTATAAGAGGGAAGCCTCCATACAAAACTTATATCGCCATTTTTATTTGTATGGCAACAAAAGCAGTACACATCGAAGTTGTATCAAGTTTGTCAACAGACTTATATTACCAATATTACCAAGTAATATATTTTGCGATAACGCAACCAATTTTGTTGGGGCTTCAAATCAATTGACAGAACTAAAGTCATTCTTATTTAATAAAATAAACCAATCGTCTATCATTCAGTACTGCGCGTCTGAATTCATTAATTTTCACTTTATTCCGCACAGGGCACCTCATTTTGGCGGTCTTTGGGAGGCTGCAGTTAAATCCGCAAAAGGGCACTTATATAGAAGTTTGATGACTACTAAGTTAACATTTGAGGAGCTGTCAACAGTAACAACCGAGATAGAAGCTACTCTCAACTCTCGACCATTGACACCACTTCGCCGGATCCTAGCGACAATGAAGCATTCACTCCTGCCCATTTTTTGATTGGGTGCTCTCTAAAGGCGTTACCGGAGCGGACGGAATCTGCTAATACTAACATGCTCGACAAGTGGTCCCTCATCATCGGTTTGAAACAATCATTTTGGAAGCGGTGGTCTCATGAATACATAAATGAGCTACAGATGCGCACAAAGTGGACCTGTGAAATACCAAATATCATGCCCAATGCAATGGTGTTAATTCATGAAGACAATGTGCCCCCACTACATTGGCAACTCGGAAGAGTTCTTAAGGTCATACCAGGCAAGGACGAGCATGTCAGAGTAGTTGACGTATGTACCTCAAAGGGCAGCATTCGCAGACCTATCCACAAACTAGCCATTTTACCCATTGAAAGTCCTTTCAAGGAGGCCGGGATGTTGGGTAACAATACAAAATAACATAAAATATATAATGTTCATAAATAACGAAAGTTTTTGTATTATTGGCAACCCTGTTGCACAATGCAAGTTATTACAATAAAAACGATCAGTCTTGATCAAACTCGAATTAAAAAACAACGTGTTTTTTGTCGTCTCTTTTTCGGTTTTAGTTTTACTAAGAAAAATTCTTCTTGGTACATATATAATGCAGTTAATTTTCGTGATGATGGTTCTACTGGAACGTAAAGGAACCCGTTCTTCAAGTCGAGTGTCGTGAAAACATTTACACCTTGTAATTTATCCAGAATATCTTTGATTAACGGCATAGTGAAACGGTCCTTCACAATCTTTTCATTTAATCTACGATAATCGCAGCATAGACGCTTTGATTCATCCTTCTTAGATGCTAATACAACTGCGGCAGCATATTCCGAAAAACTTTCTTGCACATTGCCTTGTTCTACGCGCACCATTACCTATTCGTTCACTATTACTCGGTTATGGTATGCCAACCGCTATGGGCTTTCATATATCGGAGTATCATCCATCATGATAATTTTCATTTCAATCGGTGACTTTGCATATTTCACTTGGTTTATAATTTGTAACTAACGATTCAATTTCTTCCTGCATTTCAAATGAAAGTTGTGCTCTGTCTATGTTTGATGACTGCTGAACCGCATCTGCCATTCCACATAAAATTTAAAATTCATCTTCATTTGTAGTTATGTCATTCTTCGTTTTTACATCTACTTCTTTTTCTTCTGAAACATAAAATTTCGAACCGTTTTTGGATAACGCAATGCTTAAATTGTCAAATACATCACAACTAATTACTGCTAAATAATCGGGGTCTTTATAGGCGACGATGTGAAACGTCAGGTATAGGTCAGCCTTGTCTAAAGCTGTCTGCAATTTTATGCTTCCTTTGCTTTTTATTACGTTCCCACCCGTACAACGTAGAGTTTTAATATCGTTACACAGGATACCGCCACCCGACGACTCGAAAACATCTTCGCGTAGTAATGTCATATCAGATTCGATGTCGATAAGAGCGCAAATGGGCGTTCCCAGAATTGTTACATTTCGACATGACTTCTTGTTTGAGATGAAGTGACTAGACATGTTTTCTACGGAATTTACTTCACTGCTGAACGATGAGGATTGCAATGTTTTTGCTTCTTTACATTCAAACGAGCGATGTCCGATCTTGTTACAGCGGAAATATTTGTAGTTAACAATCGTATAATCTTTTGCTAAGTGTGTCACATCACCACACTTGAAGCACCTTCGTTTTATTTCCTGTTTCGGGATTTTATGTTCAAACGATTTTGAGTTGCACACTGGAGCTTCGCCTCTACCTCCTTTGTTCGTCCCTCTGATCTTTTCATAAATTATCATACGTTGTTTCTGCTCGCTTATTGTTTGCGCTTCGTATAAGGTTGTTTTATTTAACTTCGAACAAAGTATGAAATTAGACATTTCTCGTCTAAGTCAATTGGTCGACTTATCTCTTGCAGGTTCTACACACATTCTCTGAGTGTTTCATTCGGGCGATGCATTCTGTTTCTTAGCATGTCGTGAATTTTTGCGATCATTTGGTCATTGCCAGTCATGTACACTTGGTTGGTTTCTGATAAATAGACGTGCAGCACCCTGCAGTAGTTGTTTGGCGTATACAAACTTTTGGATGTTGTTCCATCCCAGCGTTGCCGCGTTGTCGTCGAATTCGCCAAACCACTGGTTAATATCAACTGCATCGTTCCCTGTGAATGGGGTCATGCTTTCTTGCACGTCTTTAAGGGTGAAGAAGCTCCTAACACTACTGCTGTAGTACCAGCAGTAGCTCGTTGGATGTAGCCATATCATATACAGACACACCCTCATGCTCTTCATCCTAGATAAGCCTTCTGCACGCAGCTTCGTTTTTCCTTTTTCTACTTATTCTTATCTCTTATTCTTCTTGCTTCTTAGTTTCTTCTTTTTCTTACTTCTTAATTTCTTCTTTTACTGCCTGCTGCAGCTTAATTTTTTCTTTTAAACAATGCATAACGCCTTATTTGCTGTTACCCGCTGCAATCCCGGCTGAGCCCCCAAATTAATAGTGGTATAATTAGACTTTATGAAAAATTAATAATAATTTACTTAAAGACAATACACTATGAAAATAAAACGTCTGTTCAGCTTCAACTTCTTCGCTTTACGTCTTCTTTTCTTTCTTTGACAGTTTTTTTGTTTGAAATCGCAGTCAGAACAAAAGTACTGAAGAGTTTCATTTTATATTATTAACCCCTACATATAGTTTTAACAAGAGAATGTCAAAGTGAAATCTGTGGAGCAAAGTTGCTTTCAATGAAGCAAGTACTTCAAGTTCTTTTCTATAAAATTCGTGTTCAACGCAACACCTAGAAGGAAACTTTTAGAAGTATGAATTATTCCGTACTACCATTTTGGTAAAAGGCTCGTATTCCTACTCTAACTGAATTTAATTGCAAAAAAGAACTACAAAAAATTTACGATTATTACAAGAAAGTAATAAGTCTCCGCACGAAAAATTCCGAATTAAAGAAAAAGAGTTCTGTGAAAATATAGAAAATTTTGTATTTGTTATCGTAGCACCTACTGCTGTTGAATAAATAAAAATCCAAGAAGATAATGATTTCTTTTTTCAACAAAGACAGAAAGGTCAACCAGGATGCGTGGAAGGCATTGAAAACAAAATAATAGAAAAAAAGCGCCAGCCAGAACTATTTGAGAAATGTGATAAACATAAACATAGATATATGAAAGATATATAGTTACATATTAGCATAGATGCTAATATTTCTCTATCCAAATTGCCACAATGTATCAAGCACATTGTTGCAAAAAAATAGGTGACATCATAAATTTCAATATAAATTCCTTATACTTTATAAAATTCTTACCAAAATAAATATAAATTAAATACTAAAACGACCACACAGAATTTATTTGCAATTTCCACCTATTCTCAACATTGTAAAAAAGGTTACACGTTAAAACACCAACGCTATGTTCTAAACAACAGCTTTGCTTTGTCATGACAACAAAATAATGTTTTCTGTTAAAAATTCCTGGAATTATGCTACATTCCTATTAAAATAGAAAGTTTAAGGTATTAGCAAAAACATAGAAATATAAAGACATGTAATTTGCCTCTGTTAAAAAAATCATGAATTCTGAAAAGGTACACGCAATGGGAAAAACATGTCTGTTCAAACGTATAAACAATCGAACTTATTATTTTATGTATGATCAATGCTATTTTGTTAGTGAAGTC